CCTGCTGAAAAGAAAACTAAGGAGGTCCACAGCTCTGCACAGCTGCATGGGAACAACTCTGAAGATGAAATTAACATGTCAGTGGCTTTTGGCCACCTATAAACCCATCTGCACCTGCAGATGAAAAATAAACAAGCCATTTAGTCTATCAGTGTGTACTGAATTGCCTGTGAAAAGCATCAAGAGCCTTAAAAGGCAACAAACAACCTTTGTGCTTCTCTCATGGGTTCCTTAGAGTTTGCTGTGGCCGATTCTTGCTCTTGCTAACACTCCTGAACTCATTGCTGAATTTCTCAGCTCAACCAGCTTGGGGCCTAGGCTGGAGCACAAGGTCAGCCCACAAGCACAGAACAGTGCCAGACTTTCTAGCATTCAGGTTGGTTGTTTGAAAAGGTCTCGTGCTTTTTCAAGCAATCTCTGCCTCCCCACACTGCTTTCTCAAATAATGTGAGCCTATTTCAAGAGTAAGTGTCAGGAATCTGCACAGAACTGATCTAACCCCTGCCATGTTCTGTGATGCTTCAGTGCATTCTGAGAGTGGCCCAAGCCTATTTCAGGAAACTGCAAAGGAAACAAGGAGATAAGATATTTCTACTGCATGCGTACAAACAGTTCTGCTTGACCATGGCAGCACTTAGCACAGGCTGCCAGAATCAAGGAGGCTTTCCTTGGTTTGTTGCTAATCTGTAAAGTGAGTCTAAGGGGTGAAACATGATAGTCCCAAGAGGGAAGAAGTGGAGTGGGATTAATTTAGTTTAATTTTAGACAGACTAAAATGAGGTGTCGAGACTTTCTTGTTCTCTTGATTGTCAATGGAGAGAGACAGGAACCACCAAAATGTAATTCAGCCCAACAGTTGTAGACAGCTATTTTAGGATGGGCTGAGTTGGTCTGGAGGTGACTGTTGTTGGCATTTGATTAGAGAGGATGCCTAATTCACATGAAGGTGATTTTAGGTGGCTAAAGGTTAGGCAGGATGATTCTAAGCCTGGTATCCAGTGCAAACTCACATCGGAGGGATAATGGGAGGAACATCGTATCACAGGGGGAAGTTAATATTGCAGGAACCAACCACTACAGGATTTGCATGTCCATTTCTGAGGCAGTATGGGGGCTGCTAAAGGGAATGCTGACACAGCTGGAAATAGAGCAGCACTATATGTGATGCTTGCTAATATGTTCCCTGTCATTATGCTTCCAAAAACACACATTTGTGGTGACAGGAGGACTCTGAGGGTAGCAGTTAGGAGAGTGGCTAGCTTTATGGTTGGTTTTCTTCTGTCTGGTCTGATAGCACTTCAGGATATTTTGTGGATCCAAAAATAATGCTTGAGGTATAGTTTTTTGGTGTGTTTTTCTTTTGTTTTGAAAGAGGGCATCTGTAGAAGATTCCCTCTTGCCAAATTTTCTTCCCCTGAGAACCAAGGTCATGGTGACTTTTCTTTAGTCATTAGAAGATGGGACAGGCCCTGCCTGCCCCCACCACTGGGTCAATTAGCGTGACGGTTGCTAGCATTGATGAGGGGTGACATGAAGTGCTTTTTGAGAGGCTGAGCACGCTTCCTTCAGCATCCCTGACAGTGGCGTCCCTGATGGTAATGTGAGCAGGAAATTACTAGGTCAAGGAATTGAAAACCAAACCCCCCAGTTCAGCATCACTGGTTACTTCGTAGGCAGTTATGTTGAGCTTGATGGAGCAGAAGATGCAAGGAGTGGTGACTGTAAGGGTCCTGTAGGAAGGGCTTGAGCAGCTTCACAGAGGATTTGGTCTAGCTTGTAGCCTTTTCTGCAAGGGGAAGAATGGGCACAAAGGGGGCCTATGCACATGTTGACTTTATAGCAAAGATACTTATTAGCCAACGCTACTTGGAGCTTAGTGCTCAGAGTGACAGATCACTTGTACTGCACAAGCATACAGCTCTCTGCAGTGACGATAACGCACGGCCTCGAGAGACCTGGCAGTCCCAGTTGTTATCTTAGCTAGTCTTATCTGCTTAGGTACTATTATCATAGGTTCTTGGTGCAATGCGTACTAGAACAGCATCTGAACATTCTATGTGCTTTTCCTTGGTAATCAAGGCAGAACTATTCTGCAGATGAGGAACAAAAGTGTACTGAGGGCTAACTCATCCAAGGACAGCCAAGATGCTTGTGCCGGAACCTAGATCTCCAGCTATCTTGAGCATATTTGGAAAATCTGCATAGATCATTCCATACTAAGAAAATTGCAGGCATAAAGTAGAGATTAGGTAAGGTTCAGTTCTTCCATACTCATCGAAAGACTTTGCTCACTTATGGACATAATGGTGTATTCCAAACATGATCCGTGAACTTTTGTAGATAGAATATGATTAATTAAAAAACCAATGCTTTTCTTGCACGTTTGCTGGGTTTAGCATGTCTTTTGCTGTACACAGCAGTGCTGTTACTGAGTTGGGATACTGTTAAAAGATTATGCTGATTTCGGTAATACAACTAAGGAAAAAACCAACTGGTAGACATTCTGTGGACATCCAGAAGTTAGTTTGACCCTCAGCGTAGCCGAATTAGTAGTAGTTTCTTTATATTTTTATATGCAGTATCTGGGCCTGGCATAAAATCTGTTAAATCAACAGACATTCTTTCAGAAAGAAAAAAAGTTTATTTTTAAAGGAGGTGGGCAATAGAAAAATACCCTGGGATAATAGAGGACTTCAAGAAATACAATACAGCCTGGAGAAGAATACCCCAGCTTAGGCGACACAGCAGCAAGGATCTATAGCTCAGGGATTGTTTGGGATTTTTTTTCCCTCTTTTGCCTCACTTTAATATTGACAGTTAAACTGAGTATGAATGTGCTCTCTAGAAATAAAGCTGACAGAGAAAGGAATAGGCTGGGAAATGCCATGAAACTGTGATTCTTGCTGACTCTTCACTGGCTATTTGTGCAGTTCGTTGGGGGGAAAAAAGAGATATGGAGTATTTTGAAAAGATGTCCAGATTTAAAAGGTGAAATTTTCAGGAAATAATCCTCAGTGTATCAAAAATAAGGTACATTTTATTTGGTCCAATGTACACATGAAGTGGTTGTTTCATTGCTGTGCACAGACTTCATTATGCTGCTAACAGGTGGGTTTTCCCAAATTGCAGTGGTAAGGTCAGGTCAGATAGGGACACATGCTCATTTCTGACTGTATCCAACTGCCAGTATATCTAGGGGTTCATATTTCAATTAAACTGAGCTGTAAGAAAGATTATGAAAAAGGAGAAGGAGTGTAGAGGAATTATGTATACATGATATTTTCTTTATGGCGCCCATCAGTACTGGGCTAATTTTAGGAGGTGGGGTAGAATTCTATTTCTGCATTCATTTAGTTAGACAAACATGAAATCCTTGCTGAGGTCAGCAGGAGTTGCATATGCTGGGCACTTGAGAAGGAGGTGTCTGGCTTGATGACTTAGAACAAGCGCCAAAGCATTGAAACTCTTACAGCAGCAACACTGGAAAATAGGCTCATTGTTTAAAAGAAAAATCCCTTAGTTCGGAAGAAATTGTTTAAATCACATGAAGGAGTAAGATTCTAAACTTGAACTAATTTAATTTCTCCCTAATTATGAGCTATATAAGGGAAAAAAATGTTCAGGATGTTGGCAGAGCTCGCAGTGTTGGCTCTTTGCTCGCTCAGTGCCACTGGAACTAATGCGAGTGGGAAAAAGTGGTCCCTGTGCTGAATTGCAGTGGCTTGTTAGCAGGTGGGTATTCTGCTTTACCAGCAGATCTGGTGGGGAGACTTCCATCAGAGTCCAGCTAGTTCCATTAGTCCTTCATCCTTGTAGGCACTAAAAGTTCATTGCTTGCCACCCCACAATCTAGGGACATAGATTGTGAAGAAGTGAAAAGTTGCCATTTAAGATGACTTAAAGCATTCTATTCTTTC